AAAATTACAGGCTTCTCTCATCTTTTTAAGTGGGAGAACTTGCACAATTGGTGGCTGACTAAATACTTTTTTGCCCCACTGTAATTTAAATGGGGAGTACCATTAGCCTTTTAAACATTGTTAATAATGGTAAACAAAAGAAATTCAATCTTGCAAGTATGGCCAGATGTACATAGCTATCTCACCATTGCTTATACATATAGTTCTATGGGCAAGGCAAGGGGAGACAAGTGAAAAATGTGATGCCATGTGTCACAAAAATACATAACAGCAGTCATTCTGGTATCATTGTGATTTAGAGCAGATGCATATGGCTATATGGTAAGGATAGAAAACTTTTATAAGGGCTTGTGGGCACATTTGGAAGTTTTAGGTCATGATGGGTATGGGTATACCTAGTATTAAAACACTAAGTTACCAGATGCCAACCTGGTAAGCTTATCTTGGCCACCCTTAAAACTCCAGAATGTTCTGTACACCCTGTTTCCTAGTCTTCTATTTTAAATGGATAGGTGGGCACTCTTTCAAACAAAACATTTGGCTGCAAATAACTATCAATTTATTTTCTAAAAAGGCCTATGTGATCAAGAAGCACTGTTTTAAATGAAATATTCCAGAGGGGTAGCCATGTTAGACTTTTGCAGCAACAGTCTTCTGTGACTCATCTGATGAAGCAGACTATGATCCATAAAAGCTTGTGATAATCAATTGCTTAATATTTAAGATACCACAAGACTTCAATGTTTCTATAAGTTTTTCCCAGATTTATTTCCTATATTCATAACCCCCATATTAAGGATGGGCAATTTCCTGGTGGCTCTAATAAAAAAAAGTAAAACAACAAACAAACAAACCCAACTGGGTCTCCAAGGGCTCTAGGATGAATGGCTGGTGAAATCTTCAGAGTAGGTGGAGCCAGAATGATTTCTCCTTTTTTGCATTTTTATGGGAATTAATGGAAGACATGTCTCTTTAAACTTCTCCACATGGGAAAAATCAGCTCTTACATGCTCCAGAAGTAAGCTAAATATTTCACGTTACTTATTCTGAGATACTCTGGGGGCTGCTAAAGGAGTTGCGTGGGGTCCACAGGTTAGTCCCTATGTTTTGTCAAAATGATCAAGTATTTTACTGCTGTATATACCATTGTGAAAAAAAAAATGAAAAGAAAGTATCTTCTTACTGCTGTCAGTGATGCTTGCTTGCTGCTTATAAATAAAAGATCAAGACCTTCTACATTTTTCCTTCTTCCTCTTCTCCTTTTCATGGGTGGCTCTACATCAATTAAGGAACCATTTAGCAGATGTCTTGTCGGTGTGCGAGAGAGGCCTGCTTGTAGCAGCTCCATTTGAGTTTTAAAGGCATCAGACACTGGTGTTGAAACAGAAGATAACAGAAACTTTGAAGGAACAGCTGAAAAAGTTGAGGTAGAACTTGTTGCCTCCCGTGAGGCCTTTGATAAGTCTACAATTTTTTCTTGCCCATTTTCTGAGACAATCTGTGATTCTCGCAATTGGGCAACCATTTCCATTAAATTTCTCCTCTTGGCTGCCCTTTCGGCCTCAATTTCAATCTTCCTCCTCCGCCTCCTCCGCTGGCGTGGAACTGATAAATTGAGTACATCTTCCTAATGAAAAATTAACATATATCATTATGAGCAATGACTTTACCATTCCTTTTTAAAAAGAAATGTGTTCAGTTTTCAGTACATTTTTGAAAGATGGAAAAAACATAATATGATTGCACTGGCCCAATCAGTAATATTTTCCAGCCTGACCAATATTAAATAAGCTAATTATGGTTTTTATCCTAATGAATGTGTCATGAAAACTATTTTCAATTTAAATGCTATTTATTTTTGTTTATTTTCTCTCTCAAAAGTGGAGTTTATTGCCACTCATGTTTTCTGCTGCTATTTTGACCCTTTTCCCTTTGATTATACAAAACATGCCTTAGATAACTGAGGAGATATGGAGACATCTTCACTGCCACTGATGCTGGCCTGACCAACCATGGAGAGTTCAGCAAAGCTTCTTTTCTGTAATGGGCTGTCCACAGCTGCTGGTGTATACCCAGGTATAAGCCCCTGGAAATCAAACATCTGGCGTCTATTTATTGGCCACTTTCCCTTCAGCACTGCTTCACAGATGTTGTCTAATCGGTTGATCATTACTCGATCCTACAAAAAGAAAATACATCATTCTATATAAACTAGCCATCTGAATTTTGCTAATGCATTGTTACTATACAGTTTAGCAGATTTACTAATTTTAGATCCAAAATAATTATAATTAAAATCTGGATCAGAAAAGTATTCCCAATCACCCTGAAATTATACTGAATGCAAATAAATGAAAAACAGCAAACATTTCTGCTAATGGTAATCAAAGTAAACAAACTGCTGAATGTATTTTTTTTTCTGAGCTTTTACTATTGCTTGAACATTTCAAAATTGAACCCAAATTGACAAGCAATAGTGTAATTACTACACAATTAATAGTATAATCTTTACTCTCAACAACTTTGTCTTAGATAGGTCAGAGCCAACACCATCTGCAATTCTGTCCTAAGAAGTGGTTCTTTATTAGTGTCACTATCAATAAAGTTCGGCTTTGTGAAAAGGGTACCAATCTAGGAACATCCCATAAATGTCAGTTCTCATTCCACACCCATTATCACTTCAAGTTTCACTCAAGCATGTATACTGAAACAATTTAATTATACTCAAAATACAGGGAAATGCAAAACATGCACTGCTGCATGGAGAATACTTTGAAACCTAACTGCACATCTTTGGGACTTTTAAGAATATGCTTTATATAATACCCTTCTGATTTTTCTAGTTAAGAAAGTTGTACTACTTGGCCAATAATATTTGCTTTTATAATTCGGGTGCTGTAAAGAAGACTATGTTTTCTTGAGCTGTTGATTACTGACAACATGAATATATTATATTTTCTGCTAGTGGTGTTATTTGTACATTTGTACTATATTAACTGATTTACATTATTTATTTAAAGTTTGTTGTAAACCAGCAATACATTAATTTTAAGCCACTTTCTGTGGAAATATGCAGTAACAGTATGTTGAACCACATATATTTGTCTAAATAATTATCAATATTTGGAAATTACTGATTGATAACTGAACAGGATCAGTCTTCACTGCCATAAACTACAAAACAGCGTAAAAGCTGCCAGCAGATTTCAGCAGCTGCAGCCGGCTGCTTGTTTTCCCCAGGAATAAGCCTATTATAACAAGGGTTATTTTCCCCTAATCCAGATGGCCCCGTTATGGTGATTAGGAAGCTTAAGACTTTTACTACTTTATTTTTCTCTAGCACCCGCTAATACAATTTCACTGCTATAGCTTTATCTGCCCTGAATTTGAGGGTTTTTTTTAAAAATAAAAGCTATGGGACAATCTTTGCCTATTAAACCTTTTTAAGATTACAAAAAACTAAAAAAAAAATCCACCTACATTACAACATCTAGGAAATATCATAATACTTACTTTAAGTTGTTGATTCCTGAATAGCATGCCTAGAGGGCACCCTCTAGGAGGTAAGGAACAGGAAAGGAAGTCTCAATCTGAAAAAATTAATTTATTTTCCCTGTCCCATTATTATGCAGAATAGCTAGAATACCTCTAATGGAATCCTTTTCAGTTGTGAAAATTAGAAATGTTTAGCTGTTGAGTGCCTCTCAACCCCCCTGAAGAGAATCTGCTCTATAGCTTTAGAGAACTACATTATGATATACACTATAAAGCAGTTCAGAGCTGATAACTTTTCAGAAATCGGATGGTAAGAATCATGTTATATACTGAACAAACCTTAGGCCAAAAAGAAAAAGCAAATGTTCTTTCATGAAGCAGCTGGGCTACTGATGGGTCTCCATCTTCCATATAAAATCCATCACGCGTTTCATCCCTTGCAGTGCTCAGGGATGCATTGCTTTCTTCATCAAAATTCTTACCCCGAGAAATCATTCCTGCTGAGAAATAACAATCACCAAAAATTAGCTCCCCAAAGTAGGGCACTTATGATGATGATGATTTATATGATCATTGAAGTTTTGATCTGATAAAGTCTTTATTGGGAATTTTCTA